TCCTCAGCAATCACTATGACAAAATCTTCTAGTGTGGAATGACTCCCGATATTGACTAAGCTGCCTTAACGATATAGAGGAAACAGACATATGACGTGGAATGCGTTTATTTGGTTCGTGCGTAACTGACACGGAGCTTGGGCATTAGATACAATTTTCGCTAAGCTGACCACGACATGTCTATTGATTATTGATTATTTGAGAGGTCTCTGCGCTTGTGACCTCCCTAACGCGATCAGCACCATGAGAGACAACGTTTCAGGGTGCCCAAGCGCCCATGAGACTGCTTAGTTTAATAATGTCAGAATTGTGTACTCCACACAGCAAACTGTTCCATGAAATAGAAGCTTTTTGTTAACTTGAATTGAGTAATACAATTAGTGAGCTAAATCGTAAAAGATCATTGGATATTTCGGACTTTCTTAAGCACATTTTTTCCATATTCCCTCATTTATTTCATCCTGAACAATTTCACGTTAATTTAAAAAAATCTCTGAAAATACCAACCATTACTCTCAAATTCGAAATCTGATACTCCCTTTGTCCAATGGTCCGCGACATAGTAACTGGGTCTGAATCCATTCATGGCACTTGATGCATTCAAATCATTAAGTAATTTTGGCCTGCCTCGTCGACCACTGGCACTTGATACGATTAATCTAGGTCATCCACCAAATAAACTGAAGATTTCTTTTCTCTGAATTCATGCATCATCTACTGCACCCACCTCAGTTGTCTTACTCTGTACTCACAACATCCTCAGACCATTCCATCTCTCCTGGTCTACTCTCTCGACTAAACCTCTCCCAATCTCTCTTCTCTTATTCTAAACTTGGCTGAGGGTGAACAGTATTGTCTGTAGAAGAGCTGGGACTAAAAATTGGTTTCCTTAATACCGGCCGAGAGCATTTCTAAAATTAAATCTATCTAGGTGCACATAGATAATTGAACTTTGTACTTCAAGGCTTAAATAAGCAACATTTTGCTTCAATGTGGGTGTCAGTCCGATAAAAGGATTAAAGTAGAGTAAATTGACTTAAAGGACGAAGTAAAAAAGTGGGATATGAAGGTAACATTAAAAGCTAATTAATACCTAAATATTACAGTTAAAAATTCATGTTTAGTCCGAAATTATCAATTTTGTGGCTTAATTTGGGTCGATATTCAGTTACATATTTATATTATAAAATTAAAGGTAACACAAGAATTTCAGGTCACATAAATATTAGAAATCATATCAAATATCTTTATATCCGTCCGAATGAAAATGACGTTAGTAATTGCTCATTCAGACAACTTGGTTCCTCATTAATCAGGTGATTTAACTTCACGTTTTTGTTAATAATAACCATTCCCATTTGGTATTAATTGATGACATATAATGTGCACAAATATCGGCAACTTAGGAAAAATGTATAAAACACAATGACGCTAAGTAGGGAGACTGCTTTAAATAGATTTTGTAATGTATTTAAACTGAAGCAGAATCTCTTTAAAAATGTCACTATTGCTTATGTCAGACGATTAATTAATTTCCATTTAATTTCTCATGTATTGAAAAAGCTAAACACATTATGAAAACTGATATTTAAAATTATTTCAATTAATACAAGGAAAATCTAAAATTGCACTCTTAATTATCTATAGAACATTAAGTTTATTTCAAATCATAAATCTGAAAAAATACACCTTTATGGCACATTTAGGTTCTTAAATCATATTTTTATAACTAAAATAAGTTTATTAAGTAATTCTTAATGACTCTTTAAAACATTTAAATTTAATCCTTGAAATTGTTTTATTTTCTCAAAGTGACCAAACTAATGTTACGCCGCTCTTTATCTACTGAGCAATGAGCTAGTAAATTTTGTCACATTAAAATTAAGTAATTTATAATGTCTTTTAAAATATTCATCGGCGTTTTCCTTATTGAATTTTTCTTCTGTGCTGTAAATTCTCAAATCCCTATAATTACTCATGGAGCTACAGAAACATTTGGTTATGAAAATCAACCGACTTCAATACAGTGTCGAGTTCGGAGCAATGGACCGGTAGATGTTGGCTGGTATTTAAATAACACAAGACTCCCAAAAGATAGTGATTATTGGTCAGAAACAACTAAATTCGCTGAGGATACATTAATTAGTGAGCTAATGTTTCCGATTTCGCGCGACTCAACGGGTTTTTACTACTGCAATGCTACAAATCACTATGGATGGTCGGCATCCTCCCCAGCTAATGTTTTCATAGCGTTTATGGAAGATGAATTTATTGTTGAACCTCAGTCTAAAGCTGCAAGTATAGGTGAGACCGTAATTCTCTCTTGTGTACCTCCTATTGGATCCCCCAAGCCTTCAGTAACCTGGCTCAAAGATGACAAGGAAGTCAGTCTCTCAAACCGAGTTCGTATTGTCGATGGTTCTGATTTGCGAATTGAACAAATTTCTTGGAATGATGCTGGAAGCTATTCTTGCATTGCAAAGTCCCTTGCTTTTGAAAAAGCCACCAAGAAAGCCTATCTCCGAGTTCGACAAAGACCATTCTTCCTGATTGCTCCAGAAAGCCAAACTATTCCCATTAATGGAGTAGCCGAGTTTGCTTGCCGTGTATCTGGTGAACCCCTTCCGACTTTAACATGGCGTCGTGAGCCCCCACTTCCTGCAATTTCAACCACACGTTCCATCCTCTTATCAGACGGCTCTTTGAAATTGATCAATGTTCAGCTTGAAGATGCGGGAGATTATATCTGTCAAGCTAGCAATGATGGTGGGGTTGTTGAAACGGTTGCTCGTCTGACAGTGACCAGTCCTCCTGGATTTATTGAAACTCCCCCGGGAAATGCTGTATTTCTTGAAGGAACTCGAGCCCAGCTGGTGTGTCATGCAACGGGCTCTCCTACGCCGGTAATCCGTTGGATTAATCAGAAAACTTCAGAGTACTATCTTAACGGCATAAGATCACCATCTCTTAGAATTATTGTCACCACCACGGGATCTTTAATCATCAATACTGTTAGGCTATCAGATTCTGGCACATACGAATGTCGAGCCTCATCTGCTGCCGGATTTACGCGAACAGTCATCCATCTCTACGTTCAACCCAATCCACATCTGTTCCCTGGTCGAATAGGCATCGCTTCAAAGTCTCCAGTCTATGTGCAAAATGCAAATGAAATTAGATTGGTTTGCTCTCCTCCAGATTTATCGCATTTCTACTCTTACATGACTTCTGTTGCTCACAACATCAGCGAGATTGGAAACTTCAATCCCCTAACTACATTTCGGACATCGTGGTACAAAGAGAAGAAGGAGATTGCTTTGTCTGTTTCTGCAACTGACCGATTCCGAGCAGATGCTGATAACTCACTTATCATCAAGCCAGTGCATATTAGTGATGCTGGAAACTATTCCTGCATGATTCTTGGGTTAATGAACAAGAGAATAGCATTCTGGCCAATGCAAATATCGCAATTTCTACATAATGATCGTTTCAGTGAACTAAATACTCTCTCCGAACCCCCTAAACCGCCCTCAAATATTACTGTGATAGCAGTAGGGGATACTTGGATAACCCTGTCTTGGGATTATGACTACCCCGATCCAGAAATTACTTTCCAAATTTTTTACCTCCTTCAATTCCATAACTCATCTTATGTTTCAAATCGTCGCATTAAGTCCTTCAATTCTGTTCAGATATCAAAACATCCTACTTATAGAGGCTCAGAAATTCCATTTGATTCTGGAACTATTGATGATGGCCAGTATCCTCTGGATGTTTGGGAGATTTCTGCCGAGACAACTCGAGAAAAGCGATTCCATTTAACTGGTCTACTGCCTGACAGTGGATATTGGATTGAAGTCAGAGCTTCAAATTTACAATTATGGAGTCAAGGAGCACTCGTTGACCATATTGTCTATACCACCCAGTTAAAACCGGCCAGCAAGTCATCCACTTTGCATCCTGTGGATCCTAGAAAATCGGCTGGAGATTTCCATGACCTTTCAGCTCGTGTTCATTCGCTGATTTTCCTTGGGGTCACTGCTCGAAGTTTAAGTGCTTCCGAGATGTTTATAAGTTGGACTATGCAGACTACAAATGGAGCCCTCAGATTAGTGGATGGTTTTCAAGTTGTTGCCAAGCCCGTCTTTATGTCTCGGTGTACAGCTAGAGCCACTTCTGTGGTGAAAGATCTTGTTGATCCCGGACAATATGGAGTCGATCAAAGTTCTCGCTATGGTTACAGTGATCTCATCAACCCGGTTGTAGAACAAGCTGCCCACTGCAGTTTTAATAGTGAGCAGATGATAGAACGTTTTAGACAATCGTCTGTAAATGGAGGTCAAATTGCGTCTGTCAAGAACTCGGTTCCAGAGAAATTTCTCATTGTTTCAAGAGTAATTACTAGAGAAAATCCAGGTACTGGAGCTGTGATAGGCGGTCTTCATCCATTCACCTGTTATGAAATTTCCGTCAAAGCATTCAAAGACGATCAAACTTATGGGAGGATCTGGAGTATGGAAACACCAGCGGAATTAGTACTTTCTCTTGATGCCACACCCAGTGAAGCTCCAGAACTTATGTCTGCAGATTGGCTCAGCGACGCTGCCTCTCAAAACATGGTACATTACACCTTTCCACTTAGAAATCACTCTCTTTATCCAAAAAACTCCCCTGTTCAATCGTCTGGCATTCGACTAAAATGGATGCCCCTAGATTTACATATTTCTCATGGAACACTAATCGGATATTCTATTCATCTTATCGCCAATGATTCCATCTATACGCAGTCTCAGAAGGTAATGGAATTCTTTTTCAACTTTTTACATGTAATGGTATGGATATTCTAGACTGATTTTGGCTCAATTTCTCTCTTTTGCCCGCTTCCCTTTAATTAGTGAAATTGTTCGCTTTGTAGGTTTCACCAGAGGCAAATACGCATGACCTGCTTGGCTTAAACCCTAATATTGAATACACAATATTCTTGGCTGGAATAACTTGTCGAGGTGAAGGTGTGCGAGGACCCGGTTATCGAATGCCACTTTTCGGGAGCGTATCGAACCAAGCTCCTCCACCAGATTTCAATTCCCGGACCGTTTTCTTCCCCATTTGGGCATATGGAGCGGTTTGTGGAGCTGTTGTCGTTTGGCTTCTAATCGGATGTCTCTTTGTTATCTGTCTGCGTCGAAGAAAAGCTCAACAGGATTCAAGGGGTTACTGCTGTTGCTGTCTATCATCCTCCACTTCTAAACCTCTCAAACGAGATGATATCGTCTTTAAACTTTCACCTCGAAAGTCCAATAACAATTTTGATTCTCAGATTAACATATCTGAAACTAAGTCAAGCAATACTTTCACTACAAATGCTGAAACACAGCACTACACATCCAGTGATCATCACTCTTCAGTGCATCTTCAACGAAGAGCATCTAGGACTTGTGGAGGGAGTAGTACCGAAAGTCATCGTATGTTGAAGGGTACAGAATCAAGTGGAGAACCAACTGCAATCATGCTTAACTCTTCTTTAGCCAGTACTCCCTCAAATACCACCACCAACCAACCATGTTTCAAGCCGCAGTGTCTACCTCCTACCGCAAGTGTTCCCTATCCAAGTGGAACAACTCCACCCGGTACGTACAATATGATCAACAGTCTCACTGGATTTCCTCCACAATACGAATCCCAATGGAATAATGAATCTCAAGTCCAAAATAGCGCCGGAGCTCGAAGTAATGCTCATCCTGAGATTCCTGCCTATGCAAGCAGTAATGTCCTACCGAGCGATATGAACAATTCCTCATGGAATTCAGGTCCCGAGGTAAGTTAGTTGATGGGAGATTACTTTGAAAAGCCACTCTGTTCATTTAACTTTTAATATTACCTAGTCAAATGTTAACCTTTTTGACCAAAATCAGTGGTTGGTATTTTTAAAGTTTAGGAATTCTACTTTTCGACATGGGTAACCTTTACGAAGCCAAATAACTTTCTTTCTATCTAAAAGTAAAGCAAAAAAAGTTACCAACAACATAATCGCTCTTTTTTCGCATCTTTTGTGGACCCTTTTCTGATTTTCGTTGATTTTTTTAAAAAAATTAATTGATTAGATAAATTAATTTTAACGTTAAACTGCAGCATTGAAGGACTTGCTTAATTAAAAATATTGTATTTTAATCTGGGTAAAAATAGATTTAAAATACAATTAATTTCAATTGAATCACTAATTGTATTCCTATCATTGCCTAGCAACTTCAATCAGTCATATAGGATACTGATATTGAGATATCGATTTTTTGCCTGGCTATTCGTGATATTACCTCCTTTCTAACTTACCATGGGATATTTTGAATTTTGATGTTCCCTAACATATCCACCATATTTGTGATTACACCGCTTTTTTTAACAAAACGGCCCTCAGACACTTCAGTTAGAGAGGGCATGAATAATTAAGTTAAATGTCAGGAGTGGTTGGGATATCTGCTCAAAAAATCGCACGCGAGCTATATTTCAGTGCGTGCACTTACTCGTCTCCTGTTCACTATCTAATCGGTTTTTTTTGAAAGAAGCGACATTTGGTCGCTGGTTAGTGGACAAATAAAGTAGATGCATTAACGATGCACTGATTAACGTATCAAAATAAAACATATAAATATACTTCTGAATAATTAATATAATTTCCTCATTTCTTCAATATGAAGATAATTTTGAAAAAAATAGGTCTGAATGAAGTTAGTCCAGAAAGTAAATTTTTCTGTTTTTTGGGTCTATATGTTTCGATTACTGCTTAACCAAAGTGTTAAAAGGTCCACTGTATCCAAAAGATGTTTAATCACGAAAGGAGACTGAAGGAGTATTATTGATAAATTTTGTATGCAACTCCTAAAATCAATAAGACCGATTAGCCAAATTTATTGACTAGCCAATAAGCAAGAGGCATCGTGGACAAGAACTTGATAGGCAGTCAAGCAGAGGGATAGTTAAAAGTGAACTTGAAAACGTAAAACAATGAAGCAATCAACATACAGTGCAACACTTTTTTATTTATTTCAAATTGCGCGCTTTATGGTAGTTATCATTAGGTCTTTAGTTGACCTCGGGCTTCACAGAGAGGAGGAGGAACATCGATAGGAGAAAAAGTCGAGGGGAGGGGGGGG